GAAGCCTTTAAGGGTAGGGATTCTATATTTTTATAAAAATGGGGATTAGTTGTGGAGTTCACACCACATTGAATTTTAACGATCTGAATTGTTTATTTTTCAAGTTGTACATCATAGATCATCCTTACAAAATATTAGCCAAATCGAAAATATTTAAGACATCTAATTGGGTTCAAAGAAATGAACGAATACTTTGTTATATAAGAAAAATGAAATTTGATCTTGATAATTAAATAGGCAAATGGTTTGGGATTGACATTCTTGTTTCTTATTGGTAACCTATCATTTGGTTTGTAAATTTAGTTTAAAATTTTAGTCTCCCTAATATTATCCTAAAAGTAATTAAGAAAGTATAATGTGATCAATGCGCAGAGAGAGAGAAGTGGCCGTTACAGCTAGGTGGAAAGCTAGTATTTATAGTTTGTGTTTACCTAATTGCTTGGTATAAGGATATGAGAGAATGATTATGAGATAAACAAATTCGTAAAGGGATTTATTTATTTTTTCATTCATTTGTTGTTAGTAAATACTTGAATAAAAATAATACACATTACTTGGCAATTTATTGGCCGAAATAAATGTGTCCGACCGGAATGAACTCAAACTCAAAAATGATCAACTGACAATAGGCAAACAAGGTTTGGGAGATGTCATTGTTACTTTAAAATTGTCATTCTAGAGTCTAGACTCCTCCATATATATTTTCTCTCATGTTTTCATAAATATGAAGAGTAAATATTCTGTAAAATATTTTTTTTAAAGTGTTAATAACAGTCTTAAAAGTTTCCTCAATCCAAAATTAAAGTTAACTAGACATTGTTTTTAAAGTTCTCTCATGTTTTCATAAATATGAAAAGTAACTACTGCTTACTTTATATTATTTAAACTGACAAATAATCGTTCCAGCTAGAAGTGCAAGTTGAATGATGTTTCCGATTCTAACAATAAAACTTTCGAATTCAAATTTGAAAACTCCAAATCCAATTAGTTTCCGAAAAATTGGAATGAAAGTTGGAATCCATGTAGAGATTCCGAGAGTTATGAATTTTAAATGACATGCCCAACCCTGATATCCTCCAAACAACAAGGTAGACACGTGTTGGCTAACACTCGAAGGTGACAAAGCCATACTAACATGCATAAGAAGTAACGAACATAATTAAAACTTATAAATTTAAATGGAATGATTATACACTTGAGGAACGTGTTCAGAACATACAACCAATCCGAGACACTAAAAATGAATAATATTAAATTGAATGAACAAAAGAATGGGTCCTACATCGAGAGGACTTGACGATGCCGATGTGGGAGTGCCTTGATGCCGGAATTGTACACCTCGATTCTAAGTCCTGAGGGGGCGCAAAACAAAACATGAGTGGACCAAGTTGATATATAAGTAATACTAAAACAATTATTCATCAACATACTAACCCCCAAAGTTTATGAAAACTCATATAGTATAATAAGTAATACTTTTTCCGAAAACCCTAGCATGCCATAAAACTTCATAAATATATATTATATATAATGTGCTAAGTAGTGGTATCATAATCGCCCGAAGGCAGTACGTCGCTCGCCCGAAGGCAATATCATTCCCGTAGGCAGTATCATTCACCCGTGGGCAGATTGTATAAGTGATCACTGAATAAGCACATAAAAACATTAACATAATATTTTTATAATATATATATATATATATATATATATATCAATCTCAAATTGGAGCTCAGTAACTAAAACGTAATATCATAAAACCACGTTCATCAGTAGGTATATAGTCATCAATCATATATACCGTAGAGAACGTAAAATCGATAAAGCATGAAACCAACTTACTCAAAAACATTTCATAAAACGTAGCCATAAAATCATGCATTTTAAAAGGGGTTCACTCACCTTACATTGTTGGCGAAGAGCCGTGCAAACAAGGATGGATGGAAACGCCACTAACAAACGCACCTAAACACATAAAGGGACCAATAAATAAAATTATGCTAAAACGGTTAAATTTCGGGAAACGGACGTTATAAACGGATTCAGGACGTCGAAAAACATAAGGGGGGACCTCGTGTACCCCTACGAGCCAACGCACGTGCCCTTATGCGCTGCCATATGGCAACGGCCCGGACGGTCACGTGCCACCGCACGCGTCGAGTTGGGTTGCCGGAAAGTTGGCTAGAAAAATCGTCGGCATCGCCATGGATGGACCTCTAGTAGAGGTGCGTGTGCTCCACACGCCGGTCAAGACAGGAGCACACGTGCGCCCACACTTAGGCCTATGCGTAGACCCATGCGCTGCTTGGGTTCCGGGATCTGGTTCGGGTTGGGTTTTGGGTTGAAGAGTTGGGCCTGGGCTAGGGTAAATGGGCTAGGTAGCTGGGTTTTGGGTTAATAGGTTTAGGCTTAGTGGGTTTGGGCTTGGTAGCCTGGCCCAAAGGTTTGGGCCGGTTTCTGGGATAGATTTAGATCTAAGTTTGAGGGTTTGGGTCAGGTTGACCCGGTTTCATGCCATGTTTATTTGGCATTACAATTTGTCCTCACATATTAAGCAGGTATTAGTTGATGTGATATCACTGACCTTTCATGAATAAGTCGTCATCCCGTGAAAATTGAGACCTTTGTTTTACTAGAAAGATTATACAAGTGACAAAGGTTAATAAATCTAGAGTGCATGATTCTTATAGTTTCACAATTTAGTTTAGTGAAACAGAAGTTGAAATATTATTGATTGAAACCCTATCACAATATGATTGCAAGGACGATCATATTGCCTAGACTAAGAAATTGTCCATTTTTTCGTAGTCCTAACTTGTAATGGATTTCTGTTTGCAAATTTTGGGTTTTTATTTTCAAAATGAGTATATAGATAAATTTATAAATTAAATTGGGTTTGTGAGGGTAGTTTTGATAGTGAATTTAGATATAAAGAGATATTGCTAATTTAATTAAAAGTAATATGAGTGTAAAGAGTAAGTTGAATGCATAAAATATTATATGGATTCAAATAAAATTTCTCATATTATATGGGTTCCAATAAAATTTCTCTTTGTGCAAATAAAGTCATTAGTTGTTGAAGTTTGTATTATTTGTGTGAAATAATAAGAAAGCATCTTACATATCAGCGTGAAGGTTCGAGCCAGGAACCTACCAAAAGAAGTGTACAACTCAATTGTTTGGGATTTTATTATATTTTCACTTTTTAGGAAATATGTTGTGTTAACTTTGTGGCTACAACTTGGTCTCTGAATCTGGACTCGTCTAGTGTTTTGTAAGAATCTTATCTTATATATAAAGCTAACAAGCCTAATGAATAGTATTTTTTGATCTCACAAGCTTCATAAACTCATTTATGAAAAAGAGTATGAAAAAGAGTAATGAGATATTTATAACGGAACAGGGAATATAAACTCATTTACAGGACGACCGAGTCATTGGAGCTTGTTCATCCAACAATTCATCATGTTGACTTCTCCAAGTAAATAAAGTTATGTCTTTTGATTAACATGGAACTGATGAAGTTTACAAAATTTGCTTCAACCATACTAGAAAATCTTATTGAACAATTAATAAACCAATATCGATGTCAAAGGACTAGGGGCTAGAAAAAAGTCCCGAAAATCCCGAACCGACCAGTTCGATTTCGAATTCGGTAAAGAATTTGTGAGTTTAAGATTTAATACGATTCTTGTCACTTGTAAATGAGAGGTCTTAGGCTTGATTCTCGTCAAAGACGAATTTGAATCATATTATTGCTAACTCAGTATAAGTCTAAGGCCAGCCCCTCTCTTAGTATAATAATATTGTTTGTTCAAAAACAAAAAAGATTTAATATGAACCAAACTGATAAATTTATTATATTAAAATATAATGCAAGATAATTTACCTCACAAATGAGGCTGGAGAGATTCGAACCCCAAATTATATATACTAAAACTCAGTTAAACCCGGCACTGTTCAGAAATAGTAAAAGGGCGAAAATGCCCCTGGCTTCTCTGCTTTCTTCTGTTTCTCGCGCTTGCTTCGTGCGTTGGAGAGACGATTTTGCCCCTGGTTTCCACGCATCGCTCTTCGTTATTCTCTCTACTTCCAGAGTCTTCTTACCGTGTTAGGGTTTTGTTCCTTCGTTGCCTTTTCTAATTTCAGCTTTGCTCTTTCCGTTTTGCCCCTTCTTTCTTCGTTGCCTTTCCTGCTGTCTGTCCTTTTTATCCGTTTGAGATTTCTGGGTTGTGGCTGGGTTTTTGTTTGATTTACGACTCTTTTCAAGGGTGGCATCTTTTCACGTGGCTGTGGGACAAGTGTGGTTCGACTAAGGTATATTTTATAATCGTTTTCTTTTGGTTTTTTTATTTATTTATTTATTTTTATTTATTTATCCTTTTTCTTTTGTTTGGATGAAACCTTAATTGTTTCCTTTCGTTGTTCAACTTTCTGTTTTTTCCAATTATGTAACTGACAAAACAAAACCTACATGTGAGAAGAAAGGAGAAAGCTCTACCTAATGCAACCCTACCCATGGACACATTTTGTTACTCATGTAAATATTACTCCACCCTTGGTCAATTTTGTTCCTCATTGTAAATAAGATTATAAATAAATTTAAGTACTCCATTCCTGGAAACCTATGTTGTTCCTCATTATAAGTATATGTTTATATTTAGGATTTTGCCACGTTTTTATATAGCTTTAAAATCCGTAGCATTGCGCGAGCAATCTTGATAGTGAGAAACTATAATGCAACATATATATTTAATCTTTAATCTTTAATATTAGAAAGCCAGAAAGCGAGTTTGGTGTCTCAAGGCTTCACAAAAAAAAATCCACAACTAAGTGAAAATAATAGAAACAAAATAGCAGGCATACTTTTGTCAAAAACAAAAAAGAAAAATATGTTAAACAAAAAGAGAATTAAAAATGAGAAAAAAGAAAAAGAAATTAAAAAAAGAAATAAAAATCCCCCACCCCCCACCCCCCACCCCCCTCTTCTTCCTCTTCGTCTCTCTACACACACAACCGCTCCCATGTTTTCCTCAATACAACCGCTCCACTTACTTCAGTTTTTTTTTTTTTTTTTTTTAATCAAGGACAGTTTCATTAAAACCAGCCAAACGACATAGGTTTTGCATCAGCTGAAGATTTTGCTTCCTTGGAAATCTAGCGAGAAATCGTCCGTACGTTTTGGTTTGTAAGTTCTTCTTTATCGTTTCAGTTTAAATTATTTCATTTACTTTCTCAATTTTGCTTCCATGAATCCAACGCCAAGTATTCATGGTTGATTTGCTATTCTTGAACATTCTAGACTATGTCAAAATTCAAGTCATTGATTATTTTTTCTAAGAATATTATGCAGTCTTTCCCAATTTTCGAACCTCAATCCCAAAACCAGCCCACAGTAACGACAACAATGGCGTTCACATCGTTATTCTCTACGCCGCAGCCACAACTGTCAACAGCAGCAGCAGCAATCGCCGTTTCAAACTCAACAGCCCTTGCAGCCCTTTCAGCAAAGCAGCTCCTTCTTCTCCCAACAACCACCGCAGTAGCAGAAGACGCTGCTGTTTCAACAGCCGCGATTTCAGCAGCAGCAGCAGCAACATCAATTGTCTTTGTTTACTAATGACAAGACTCCGGCGAGTTATGGTACCAAGTGGGCGGATCTCCATCCGGATCACCAGAAAATTCTTCTGCAGATTGAGTAAGTTTTCTTGAATTTTTGTGAAGAAATTTAGCCTGTTATTGGTTTTTCATTGTGATTTTTTGGGGTGTTTGGCCTGATTGGTTACTGAGAAAATGTAGGAAAAAAAAGCGAAATTTTGAGTCTTTTTCATTGTGTAAAGTAGTATTATGCAAAATTGTTGCATTGCCGTAAAGTGAATTTTTTTTTTCCCGATATTTGTTGAGTTTTAATTAGTTCAAAACTTGGGTTTAGTTTGTATTAAATTCCAAGTGTAATAGTTCAGAACTTGGGTTTACTTTTTTACTCTTATAATTATGAGCTGACCCGAGATATATGGTTTTTGAGGTTCTGTTCTGAACTATTGTTTACTCGCAGGGAACGGATACTGGCGTATAGGGATGAAAGTCAGCGTTCTGGAGTGATGAAGTGAAGTTTCTGGTTGCGGCGGAGGAAGGTTACTCTGGTTCTTGGCAGTGGGAAGGACTTGAGGAGTTTTAGAGAGATGAGTTACTGAAGATTGATGGCGAGGGGTAGTGTGTTATGAGTATTTTGGTATGTTTAGCCTTAGCTCCACGCTTTAAGTTCGAGTCCTGTGATTTCAAGTTTAAAGCTTTATATTGCCAATGGTTGCGTAGTTCTCTTCAATTTGTATAGTTGTGATGATACGGAAATAATGACTTTATGTTCAAATTTTCTTAGACTTTAGAGGTAACCAAATTGACCCTTTTAATCTTTTAAGTTGCCATTGCATTCAGATTATTTTTTTGGTTTTATCATGCGAAAGTTAGAATTGTTACTCTCTTTGATTTTTTTAATTAATGTTGATAATTTTTGTGTAGAAAAGGTGGGAGTCTCTCCTCCGTCAATGGAGGAGTTATTTGTTGTTGGTGATCTTATGCGCAACCAGATTATGAGAACAACCAGTAAGATGCTTGCTTGATCTGTATGGAATGGAATGGGGTTATCTGCGCATGTAATTTTATTCAGAGTTTCATAAGTGGGGTTCAGTACCTAATATATCCTCAAATTTCTAATACAATCGTTCAGACTAATTAATTATTTAATTGCTTTACCCTTGACCGCTAATTGATTTTGAGGTTCAATGGAAGTAGAATTCACAAGGAATTGCTGAATGATTTTTAAAAGTAACCATTGCATGCTTATCTATGGGCGCCAAATTTTCTGTCAAAACCTAGGATGCGGAGGAAGCTGAAGATTAGCACCTAGGTTAGATATTCTTTTGGCCATTGTCGTTTCTTTTATTCATCGAGGTGGTAAGCGTAATACATAACTCTTTCCTCTTATATGTATAGTTTCTATGGCTTTCGCTGATTCTTTAATTTGTCAAATTTTGACATATTGAGAGCTTCAGCAAATTGAATCCATATTTATTTTCTTATGTATCGATCCTCTTGCTTTTTATGACCACAACTTAAGCCAGCCCTTCGAAAGCTAGACAATCATCCTTACTTCTTTATTGTGAATACTCTTCATTTCAAGTTATATATTTTGTTGCCAATTATTACTGTAAAAGAGTAAATAGGTTAAAAAACTAAGGGTCTGTTTGGTAATGTACTTGAATCCAACTTTTTAAACTTAAAAACAATTTTCAAGTTTTAGGTCTTAAAAACTTGTTTGATAAGACTATTTTAAAAAACTGAATTCAAGATTAACTCAAAAATATAGTCTATTTTCTGAAAACATAAAAAGTGGGTTTTTAGAGTTTTTAAGCTTAAACTCGCTCCTTTCTTTTCTCTCCCTCATTCAAATCTATCTCTTTCTTTTCTTCTTTCTCTCTCCTCATTTTTTTTCTTTTTTTTTACCTTTTTTGTCTCTCCTCCAACCCGCTCTCTTCATTTTTTAGGTTCTTTTTCTCACTGATCTTCCTCTCTATCTCGTCCGATCCTCTTTCTTCTTTCTTTTTTCCTTCAATCATCTCTTACTTTCTTTCCTCTTCTCTTCTCTTTCTACCTCTCTTGCAACCCCCCGTCTTTTTAGATCTCTTTGTTCTACTTTAAGTCGTAAGATTTAAAAATTTTAAATTGCAAACCAATCAAATTTTTGAGTCTTAAAGAAAATTGTTTTCAAGAAATGTTCTTAAAAAATGTTTTGAGAAATGATAAAAATTTTCAAATAGGATACCAAACAGGCCCTAAACATTTGTCATTTGTTTTAGCACAACACTTATGACTCTGTTTTCTCCAGGTTACTACTTCGAATTAAGCGACCATTTTGTTTTTTGAGTAAAAAAAATCTTTCTTTTTTGGATCAGGAGGAGGTTCATTGATTGAAGTTATAAAAGAGCCAAACAAAGAGTACGATGAAAAAGCAGGGCAAACATCCGCAATTCGGTTTAAGAATGGTGATTCTCTCTAACCGGACCAATTTCTTCTTCAATTAGTGCTCAATTGTTGATTCTATGTTTGTTCCTTTGGTGTTTTTCAAGTATGCAGGTATTTGTTTATCATAAGTGGTGAATTTCTAAACATATATGTGTGGATTAACATCCTCAGAAGTCAACAAGCCCAATGGCATTTTGGAAATCTGTAGAATTAGCCAACATTTCATATTCGTAAGGTCAATTAGTGGGTTTCGGAGTGAGTATGGACTTCCAACTCTAATGTTTTTGTTTGACTTATTCATCTCACTAAACAAAACAAAAATCAATGTGGTGAATATTGCAGTGTACTGATATTTGTCTTATAAAATCTAATTAGTTTTTCTTCCCCAGTTGACTTCAGTCAACAACCTTCTATTGACAACCTTAAATTGGTTGAATAATTGGATTACAAAAAAATATGAATTGATGTTATAACGAACCATAACCAAGCTTTTTCAAACGAAATTTGTATGCCTTTTGAAGTTTTTATGGTAAAGATGTCTTTATGCATGCACAATTGTGGAACGGAAAAAAGAACTATGTATGCTACGTACGCGTAGCACGCAGTGATGTAAAAAAGGCATTTCGCATGGCAAGGCATAAAGAACACGTATGAATTTTTTTTGTAGTAAAGATATCCTTACGTATGCATAGATGTGAAAGGAAAAAAAAAAACTGAATGCCGCGCGTTGTGCGCCGTGATGTAAAAAAAGCCTTTCGCATGCGCAAAGCGCGTGCAGAAAGGCTAGGACTAATTAAGACACAAGCCGCCAACCATCTTTTCCTTTTATACCATTTCATCGCCACCGGCTCGACTTACCCTTTATCTCCTCTCCTTTTACTCACCTCCCTCTTGACCCTCCTTTCCGCCATCATCACCACCACAACGAATCAGCCACCGATGAACCAGCCATCGCTACCACCGCAGTTTACAAAATCGTACTGAAAAATTCAAAACAAATTCGAGAATACTGGAATCGGGAATACCAAATTTTATTTCAGTTTGGTTTTAGAAATGTAGTCCCGAAAAGGGATCGGTTCGGTATTCGGTTTATACTTTTCGGTTCGGCCACCAAGGGTCTAGGAGTAGTAGAGGTGCAAGCTTTAGAGAACACCTGTCTTGAATTGAATAGGAGGAGTAGAGGTGGAAGCTTTAGAAAAGCAGATGAACAACAGAAGAAAAGAAATGAAGGATTGTAGAGGAGAAAGAGTTGTTTATCATCCACGTTAAGCTCAACTGAATGAGCATTACAAACTTTTGTCCAAGAGTTGCTACAGAATCTCTCTTAACACAAAACTAACATAACCTCTCTTAATGGAAAACCAACTAACATAATCACACTTAACAAAAAAAAAACTAACTGATTTCATCACAAGTACTCTCACTGCTCACTGGCGATGAATGGGACTCTTCAAGTACTGATGGTGGCTGTTCTGTCATCGTCTTCAGTTCCTCTCTTTTACTTCACAAAACAATATATAACCCACAGATGATAAAAACCCCTCCTAATATGCTGCAGGGCATAACAGAGATATTAGAAATATTTCTCATGCAGTTTTCTGTTTTTTTTCTCCCTTATAATTTAACCAGAAAAAAGACCAAAGTAAATTACCTTCCTAAGTGTAACTTCTCATCTAACAACAACGTCGCAGCTAAGCCCACCAGCAGAAGGCCAAGAGGGTTGAAAATAGCCACAAACAAAGGCCCTCGCATGCGCACACACCATGCGGTCAGAGTAAGAACCAATCCCGAAGTAATGACTCCCTACATCATAGAAAACACAGGTGTGGAACAGCTCAACCTATAGTCTTGACAAACTGAGGATGCTAAGCTAAATACAGAGATAAGGCAGGATATGGAGAAACTGTAGCTCACAAGGATTCGGCAGCAGAAAATTGCTTATGGCTAAATACAGATAAGGCAGGGCATGCTAAGCTAAATACAGATGGTGCAAAGAGCTTAGTCAGTCATATTACCGAATACACTGCCGTGAAAAGTTTGATGTCCCAGCCCAACTTCCACTGACTCCAGTCCCTCTCCCTGCAGAGGGCAAACACAGTGGACTGCATTGATGCCATGATAGACATCAGGGCCGTACTTGAGTACTGGCAAGGGTAATCCCTAGTCATTTTCTTCTCTATTGTATATACACCAAGTTAATATTACAACACAATGTTAAACAAATCATACGGATTAATTTATGAATGCATGGCTGGTTACTATTATATATATTAATTTATTAATAACCTGAAATATCAGCCACAGTGCAAAAGAGATGCTACTGCAGAGTGCTAAGACGGAGCCCAGCAACTGAGTGCGAGTGTTTCTGTGCAAGACGTGGCTGTTTTGGTGGGAATATTTACGTAAAAGGTTTACGTCCGTCGACCAAATGACAATCTCGTGGCCTTTGTAGAAAGTGAAGATCATTGTGCCTCCTACACAAACCAATGTACCCACAATTTTTGCCCTTCCCGTGCGTGTCCCAAGGGCTAACTTCTCCATTCTGAGAATTAATTTTACATATTAGTCTAAATCTACATGTTCGAATCTGAAACTGCTGTTTAATTAATTAAGTAAATACTTATGTACAAGTATGTTTAATTAATTAAGTAATTACTTCTGTACAACTACGTACCTAAAACATAATGCTACGAGGAACGTGATGACTGGAATAAGGTTATTGAAGGCTACGGCATATGTTGCCGATGTTAAGCCTAAGCTCTCTATGTAAAAGTTTTGTGCCATGGTTGCCCTGCAATAATTCAACGTATACAGAAGTAAAAATAAAAATAAAAACTGAAATACACTAATTATGACTAAAACACATCAAACTAAACTTTAATGTTAGAAATTCTTGTTTATCTCCGAGGTATATTATAAAAGAGCAAAAAAAAAAAAAAAAAAAAAAAAAAAATCATGCAAAAGGGAAATCAATAACTTTTGAATATGTTTTAGCATTCTTACCCCAATAATCCGGAGATAAAACCTTGAAACAGGATACCCAGGGTAAGTTTGGGCCTGTTCCTGTTATTTTATAAGTTAAAATGAAAATATGACTTTAGCCCTTCAAACTCAATTTTCTTCATATAAAACCCTACATAACTTTTTTACTCAAAGAAAACCCAATGACTAGGATCCACATAAGCAAATTCATTAACTTCATATTAATTCACACATTTTACATTTTTCACATTCCTAAAATACCCCTATTACATACTTGATGTAGACAATTAATTGTAAGGAAATAGTAAATGATTTTGCAACAAGAAAGAAAAGACATTAATGTTAAAAATTTATTGCATATTAATTTTTTAGAAAGGTTTTGAATTTTCATAAAACTATTCGATTTAGTTTTTTCACCCTACTCTTGAATACTTTTGAATTTATCCATTTTTATTAATATATTAGAACATTGTATTTCATTATCTACATGCACATTAATTTACCTACAACAATTATACCATGGGTGTAATATAATATCTCATTTTTACAATGATGCAAAATAATATACCAACAACAAAACGTGCCTAACATATGTACTAATTACATGGAAAATAATTTACCTATATTAAGAAGGAATGTAGTTCGATGCATAGTATTAAAAATACTATGTTACACCCATGTTTATAAAACAATAAAACTTGCCTAACATATCTAACAATACATGGAAAATAATTTACCTACAAGTTAGAGAAATGCTATTTGGTTGGGTGTAGCATAAATTTTTTTAATAATTGGAAAAATTAAATATAACTAGGTGTCGTGTAATTTTTTTTATATAATTAGAACAAATTAATTTACCTACCTACTCTTTGAAATGTTCATTTCCAATGATGCAAAATGTTCATTACCTAACTACAAATTAATTTCCAATAATTTACCTACACCAATTATACCATGGGTGTAGGTACGTACCAACAACTAAACCTGCCTAACATAAGTACTTGTACATGGAAAATAATTTACCTATAACAAAAGAAATGCAGTTTGATGTATAAAATCAACAATATTATGTTCCACTCATGTTTATACAACAACAAAACGTGTCTAACATATATAACAATACATAGAAAATAGTTTACCTACAAGTTAGAGGAATGTTATTTGATTCAAAATATATAATATAGGTGTAGCAATTTTTTTTTTAAATAATTGGAACAAACTAATTTACCTACCAATTAATATGGATAAAATTTCTACAAAATATATCACGAAAAAAAAAAAGACTACTTTTCTAGTTTAACATAGATACGGTTAATGCAAACACTTTTTTCATTTTATTTCACTTTTTCTACTACTTTTAATTTGGCATAAATTTAGGAATTTGAAAAAGGGACCATAAAGTATGAGTGGCATGAGTGTAAATAAATTGCATTAATAGGTCAATAGTGCTCCTATATGTTTGCAAATTTTAAATTAGGACTTAAACTGGATCTTTAAATATAGATGGGTTTTTATCTAAAAATAATGAATTGTAAGGGCCAAAATCTAAAGCGCCCTAAGTTAAATAACAAGAGTTAGCTAAATGAAATGAGGAGAGAGAGAGAGAGAGAGAGAGAGAGAGAGAGGGAGAGATGAGAGAGACAGAGACAGAGACAGAAAGCATATTATCATATATCAATTTCGAAGAGATCATGATCATTGACGAACCTTTCAAATATAAGGGCAAAAGGAAGCATAAGGGCTGCAGAAAACATGTTACGGTAGGCAACAAGGATGGTGAAATTCATTCCAACCTCTGCTACCAGTTTGTAAGATATATTCATCCCTACATATGCCGCCTGAACCACCAGCATCATCATCACTGGCTTCAACCCTTGCACTATACTAGTACTGCAACACATCTGTTTCTGCCCCATCGTATCTCTCTCTCTCTCTAAGATATCCTGCTAACCCAACCGAGTTTCAAATCCTTTCCACGTTTCCGAAAAGAGAGGATTCCGCCTAAGATGCTATTGTAAGTAAGCAAACACATAAATAAGTTAAATAGAACCTTTCATTATAGCTCATGCAATTTTTGAATTCCTTCATTTATTTTGTTATAAGAGAACCATAAAATACATGCAAACCACAATTCTAGAAAATATAAGGGGTTTTTGAACATTAGTCGTTGCAAAAGATTAAAAAATTTTAAAAAAATCTGGTGCTAGATCACATATTCAATTTAATCCCTTCAAGTGTACTTTTATCAAAATTTATATTCAATTTTTGTTATTTAATGTGCATTTTTATTTAATCTCTCCATTTAAAATTTTAATTTTATTAATATGCCACATATTTAGTTCTTTAATTATTAATGAACATAAATGAGAAAATATTAAAAGAAATTTGGTGATACAAAATA